GGAAGGAGGAATTAATGCAAGTATCTGTTGGAAAATATGCATGTCACTTTATTCAGTATTTTATTTTCGATTTTCCTCAGAATAAAACATTATGACCCCTTTTCATTTTCCCCCGCCCACTTTCAGATACACACTTCAGTGTGTCCTTCCGCTGAATATGTTCCTCGAAAAAATTTATATTTTCCTCTGGTTCTGGCATTGCATGGTCGGACTGGTCACTTTGAGCAGTTTTATCATGTGGTTCTATCGTATGGGATTCCCCAATCGACGTGTGAAATTTATACGGAAATATTTGAAAATTATGTCCGTTCTACGTGACACAGACAAGGCCGCATCGCACAAATTTGTGGAGAACTATTTGCGCCCTGACGGTGTGTTTCTGATTCGGCTGATTGCAATCAATGTGGGCGATCTGATGGCCGGTGATTTGGCTTGCGAATTGTGGCACATTTATCGACACAAACGTTTGCACGAAGCTGAGGATCAGAAATATTTGGATGCGACTGGTATGCTCACGGATTTTGTTTTACCCTACGAACCCGGAGCACCGGGTGCGGGCGATATTCCTTTGAATGTGGCCGGCCGCATGGTTGACAAACATCCAGTTCCTAGTGCTCCTTTAACCAGTGCAAATAATAATAATAATAATCTTAGTAGTTCTAATAATAATAATAATAATAATGACGATAGCATTGTATAATGAAAATAACATCAAGAACAACAAGAACAGTGACAAAAATAACGAGAGTGCATGACTGGTACCATTCGGACAGGAAGCAATAGATGTGTACTGATGCTCTAGGCGGATTGATTCTACCGAACTATCCAATCAGATGGCAGTCGTGTGACTCAATTATACAATCACTGAAGTCCGTGGCCTTGGCACGCTTCATATCTTTGACTTGTTTTAACTACAATTGCTATATATATATACATATACACATACATTACGCATCTATTACTTACTGTGAAATCATAACTTCTAGTCCTCTATCGTCCTCAAGGTCCTTCGGACAAATTGTTGTTTTCCTGCCACCAATCCCCGCCCCGTTCCCCAAAATGTAACTTATTCCGAGGTTTACATACGACTGCCTAACACATTCAACACAATATCTTCTTCTTCTTCAATAACAATAACAATAGCAACAACAACAACAACAACAACAACAACAACAACAACAACAACGACAACAACAACAACCAACTATCACCAGAAGACACTAGTCTACCAGAAGAGCCACTTAGAGTTTTTTAAACTACCTCTTTCACAGTCTGTTCCTCGGTCCATGAAAACAGACGGCCAAATGCTTGCATGCATGAGTGCGCGCGCGCGCACACACACACACACACGACATACCCATCTTATTCCCTTTACTAAATTGTTTATTGTGATTAGTTGGTTTGTCGAGCAGCACAAATGTTTCAACACACGCACACGCACACACAGAGTCCACCCATTTCGAACCTGAGAACGGAAAACCGGAGAGAACAACTTTGTACAGCTCTGACGTAAGACCAGACAGGAAAACAACTGAGCAATCCCCCCGCACAAAAGCGACTGACTGCATCACCCGTTTCCTTTTCACATGTTTTCTGTTTTCTGTTTTATTTTGTAATTGCAAACCCGTCCACTCACACAATGTGCCCTCCCCTAGCTCCACACTCCTTCAGGATTGGTTATATAGTCATATGCATCAACACCCCTGTGGTTGACTGACTGACTGGCTGACCGGTTGGTCAGTGATATCACCAAACGCGTAAGTGATAGCATGCATGATTTTAGATTCTTTTCTCATGTGATCTGTACACTTGCACCAAAGTGAGTGACTTCTTGTTTTCAAAGGTGATTCCGTGGCTAACTAGCCCTTATCACAGCTAAAAATGTCACTTACCGATCCCGCCATCATCACTATCCTATCCGACACACACACACATCATTATCATCAACAATAACAACAACAATTTTTAGCCCGTTGTACACAATCAGACATTGTGAGGCGTAATAGTAATGAGGTGGACTCGGTGCACATTCTCTTGTTTACTTTCTCACCTTTTGGTAAAAATTGATCAACTGTGGAATGCGTGTAACGGTTTGTCTACAGATGTGAGGAAGTTAGACTTCATAAACAGACTATCTTTCACGAACAACAACAACAGAAACAAAAACAACAACAACAAGAACAGCAACAACAACGACAATCACACCACCACCACCACCAACAATCACACCAATACCAACAGTAACACCCGTGTGTGGTTTCTTTGAATCTGTTTCAATTTTCTAGGATAATACTATTACATTTTTTTGGTACACGACAAACTTGAGGAAATTTCCCAAAGAAAACTGCACTCAAACACAAACATATTACTGTATGCTCACTTTATCACTAAAACAAACAAACAAACAATATCGAAACACATACGTTGTGCACAACACAAAACATTTTAACTCTATATTAAATATTTGTTTTATTAGATTTCCAAAGTAATTTCTCGAGTAAATAAATACATTCGATGCGTCTTTGTGGGGTTTTATTTACCTCATTGTGACACAGAGCGACTGACATTTAAATCAATCGCCCAAGTTCATGCCAGTCGTTGGATTTTCGGTGGTGCGTGTTGGCAAAAGTGAATTGAGACCTATAGATGATTGTCCAAATAGACCAACTAGTTGGAATTGACAGTTTCCATTGGTGTTCACTTAAGGCCTGCACACCAGTTTACTCGGTCCCAGTCCGTTTCTGCGCAGCTCTCATCTGAATAGCACTGACTGTAGGGATATTGTACACAAGTCACTGGTCTGAATGTAGGTAGGTGATTTTGGGCACACAGGTAAAGGAATCTCCTTTTATATTTTCCATAATTTTGCTTTTGCATTAGCCTATCGGGGTCAGAGAATAGTGAGTGAATACTGCCATAGTCGCGCCTGGCCGGTCTATTGGTTAAACCAGTTGATACCGGTATCTGTCGGTCAATAATCATTCGCAAGAGGTAGCGGAACAGTAATACTGTTTTGGGAGATTTGAATAACGAGGAGGNACAAGAGTCAAACAATCATTAAGCTGAACGGAGAATGACGTCATGATAGGATCCAGGGCGGACAGTGAGAAAGAGAGAATGAGTTTGCCAGAGTCATGTTTAATGCTGGAAACAGTAGTCTTCAAGTCAAGTCATGTCAAGTCAAGTCAAGTCAAGTCAGGAAGCCGCTTTAATTCGCACCCCCCTCCCTCCCTCATAGAGGATGAACATTCAGCCACTACACAATCATTCTTCTGAGATGGAAATGGCATGGCAACAACAAAACAAAAAAGGATGATGATACGGTGCATATAGAAAGAACTAAGGGAAATTTAGCAAGGTCGCTGGTAGTAAGTAGCCATACCAAGTATGGCATTACAGAAGACTTGTGTGCTGTGGTGTGTGCTGCTATATGCTTATACCTGGAGCGAGCGCCAGATGTAGAGGTACATTGACTAAGGTGCGGGTACAGTGGGTGAGATGGGTCAAGTAAGCCTTAAAGTGCTGTGAAATAATGAACTGTATAACATGCTCGCGAGATATACCACTATATCGACAGATGTGTCTCAACGACATGAGTGGACCAAGAAAGGTTGCGTGAAATGTTGATTCCAAGATATTTGACGGAGCATGCTCTGGAAACTTGTACACTATTGATAATAACATGCTGGCAAGAGTTCATCATATCAATGTATTGGTCACCCTTCAGCAATGAAAATAAGACTTGTTTACACTGTTCAGGATTCATTCTAATATTGTATTGTGAAGACAAGTCGGTAAGCATTGAAATATTCTGTATAGGTTTGGGGTACACGGAGAAATTCGAAAACCTCGTGCCACACAGAACATGTTAATTGTATGAAATTTTCAATCTGATTTTTAACAGATAGCGCACAGCAAATTTTCAAGATAACAGCTGTGGGCAATTAAATCTGTCTAGTTTCAAATAGAACTGAGTAAGGCTGACGGGAGCGGGGGGATTTAAACACGTGATCAGCGAGCAGGTCGAAGTAATGATTGCACAATTGGGAAGAGAAATACTGGCTTCCTTCGAAGGTGATCTGTGGGACGCGTTGTTTCACTCATCCTAAGCGGAACCTGCATTCAGGTGATACAGAATACCGGAATTTTGTAATTTTGCTGCCATTTAAATTTACCCAGGCATTGTTGGTGTGCTCTGAGTGATTGGAATTCCACGTGTGCCGTGAAGGCAACAGATTAGATTTGAAAGTGAAAAAAACAACTAAAAACTACTTCCTAATTTACGTGTTGCGGGTAGAACCTATTTTTGTGTGCAAACACCCATCCGTGTCTGTCGTGCAAACGATTGACTGCATTCAAAGGTTTCGCGGTAAACTTTCATGATCATAATGAAAAATGCAAAAAAAACGGTTGATAGCTGGTTTTGTTAGAAAAAAAGTTATTAGGCAAATAGGAAATGTGTCTAATTTGGAAATTGTTCTATCCGCAAAACAGTTTGCAAAGTGGAGGACATTCGTATATCGAGCAGATGAGGATATCCGCCTTTTTGTCGGCAAATTCCGGACGATGATCCATAGGTTTGTGTCAAAAAGGGGAACTGCGTTTTCTTCCCCGCTTCTTTCACCATTTTTACTTCCTTTTTATTGAACAAACAAAAATACAATTTTCAGGAAGTGTGGGGAGCAACCATAAAACACACATAGGAAAGGAAAGTCAGGCAATGGTGACAGGATTCGAAAGCAAGTCCTTCGGGGGTGATAATTTAGTGGCATTACCAAAGATCCAGTTGATACGCCCATAGTCCCACCCTCAGAATCTCATAAAAATCATCTTTGAGA